AGTAAAAAATTTTGCATAGAAATTTGAAAACGACATCCAATTTAAAAAAATAAAAATTCTAAAACGACAATTAATAAAATACGGAGGGAGTAAATCACATGAACAAAAAAAAAGTCTCCAAGGTGATGGACCTTGGCTTTTTCTTTCATTTTTAAATGGAATATTAATGTGTTAACGTGTGAGCACATGTTAACGCGTGGGTGAAAACATGTTATATTTTCTTCACATTAAAACCAAAAAATTAAAAAATAACATGTTGTTATAAAACAATGCGTGTAATTTTTTTTGTCAAGTACTTCTAACGTTTTACCTTGAAAGCTATCTCTGAAAATAGTCTTTTTTTTTTTTTTTGTCAAAGACTAAAACCAATATTGAGTGGGATCAGGATGTCCCTGCGCGCATCAGCATATCACATGTAAATTATTGAATTCTAATATGGATACAAGCCCGCAAGGTGGTGGGCGAGTGGTAGGGCGAGCCCGGCTCTCTGAAAATAGTCTTTTTCAAAAGAAAAAAAGCTATCTCTGAAAATACGAAACTACTTCTTCAATCTCTTCGAGTCTTTGTTTTTTTTTTTTCTTCGAGTCTTTGTTTATTTCTCAAACCAACAGAGTCGCCGGTAAGATATTCCCAATTTGTCATCTCATTGATTCATCAATTATATATACAAGTAGTAAAAATTAAGTTATATGACTACTACAACGTTTTGTGGTTAAGCTAGTGCCAGGTTACTAATCGTAAAGCCATTACGCATGGTGAAAGATAAAATGTCGAAATAACTGTGATTCCTCTCTTGAAAATTACTGGCTAGGTTTTAAAATCGTAAAACCAATCACGGAGTAACCGAGAATTCTTTAGTCCATTAAAAGGTGAAATGTAGTGATTTATATTGATTGCATATGTAGTTCAGAGGCTCGTTTCAAGAATTATGATAATCCGTGACGCGGGTGAAGAAACAGTTAAAATGTATCTCGTTTGAGAACACTTTGGGGCTTTGGGCCCAAATGAAACCCAAATTAAGCATGATTCTGTAGTCTCGGCCCAAATGAGACCCAAATTACTCGGCCTGAAGGTTAGGTGATAGAAGACCAACAAATTTCAAACATTACTATCTCTACGGTCAACAGTATAAAGCAGATCCTTGAGCATAAACGAATCAACCAACTATCAAGGTTTCTACATAATATAGCAGATAGCCCATTTACAAATAACAACAGTATAAAATCTGCGCTATTGATTGTATTAATGTGTGATTCTGTAATCACTAGAATTGACATGAGTAATGGGAACTGTTTGTTTGTCTTAACGAATTTCTACGAAACAAGGTTATGCACTTCTAGTGCATATAACTTCAAACTTATGCAAATTACAAATTTCAAACATTCTTATCACTCTTATCAAAGAAATTACTTCAAATTGTTTAACACGGTGAGGGCATAAAAGGATCATTCACTATACTACATCTTCACCAAAGCTACTAGAATCGATATGGAATTAATTGTCACGCCTCCATAATCAAACTAAACATTGAGAACATAGATTAAGAGGCTTCCCTACGAATTCAAACCCTTAAATCATAAACTACAAAAAAAAAAGAGATAAATGTAGCAGCAAAGAGGAAAAGATCGGTTATATCGAGAATTAAATAACAGATCAAAAAAATTCCTCACGCAGCCAATTACATGGATTTAGGCAACTGGGAAAAAGAGAGATATCGATGTTCGATTCACTCGGCAAAAAGTTGCCTATCTATTATTTAAAACAAAAAAACTATTATGATTTGATGATATTAAAATAAAAACAAAAAGAATTTCCCATCAGAGTAACTATGACAATATAGCATCATATGGAACTGATAAACAGATCCATAGCTTTTGATATGTAATCCTCATTAGGAACAAATTAAATTGCAAAAAGAGCTTTTAAAAGACCAAACAAAAAAAATAAAAAGAAAACGTTTGTTTGCTAACAAGAGGAAGATAGTTGACAAACTCTAAACAGAAGCATCTATAAAAAGGAGAGGTTGCGATGATGATGATGGTAAAGATGGCGGCGGCTAACTAGGGTTTTTTTGCTTATAGCTCTAAAGCTGCGTTTGCATTTTATATATATAAAGGAATTGGCAAGTGCGGTTGAAAGATGTGGGCCTCTATGTTCCAAACGTAGCCCATAAATAATGACCCAAGCCCAAAACTAATATGGACGTAGCAATTTTTAAAGAGTGCCAAACTGAATTTGCCTGACACTGTTGGCAAAGTACATATATCAGTTATTTGCGATGCTTTTGTTGTAGTAAACTTATTTAAACAACAACAAAAAAGGAACTCCCAAAATTTGATTATAGTAAAATCGTTACCAAATGTGCGATTACTTTTATTTTTCTTGTTCTAATCCAAATCCTACCAAGAATTTTCAGAAATAAAGCAACTAGAAACACTGCTTTTTAAAAAGAAAAAGTGTCTCTCTATAAAGTAGCATTCCGAAGATATCTCATTTCATAAAGACCAGTGACTTGATCAGCAACAGCCCACATAATGGCTTGTCCCGGTGGAATCCTCATTAGCCTCGGCAATAACCCTCTCCATAAAGCCACTAATCCTTCCTCTGCATAAATTGTTCTAATGGCATGAACCATCCCTTTATATCTAATCCCACCTTCACTGTCTCTGCTCTGAGCCATCAGCCTCGTCTTCACCACATCAAATGGTCCGGTGCAGAACGGACCTGCGGTTCCAGCTAAAAACCCTGAGATCATTGACTGCCATGGCTGCAAGACTTTACCATCGCCTTCATGTTTGTTCCACAAAAGTATGTCAAATGCGTTTTTCGCTGTGAACATTACAGCTTGGTTGGTGCCGTTTCTCATAACCGTTGGTGCTGCACCTGACCATAACCCAAGTATGCTTTCTTCTCTCACAATGGTTCTAGCACAATGTATTGGTCCTTTGTACTTGAAGAGCTCAGGACTTAATCCTTTCTGTTGCTGAAGTCTAATTTTCACCACCTAGAGATTTATAGAAAGCAAAAAAACAGAACTCAACAGTGTTTTATTTGAGTGAAAATACTCATTTGATATGCAAGAACTCTTGAATCCATGTCATGAACATACTGAAGAGAATCAAACCTTATCTCTCTAACCACATAAGAACAAGAACTACATGAAACAAGTCAAAGACTCAAAATGATTCTACAAAATGATTATTAAGAACACGATTCTCCAAATCAAGAATTGTCATGAACAATGGGACCAAAAGCATCAAAACAGATCTGAACAAATAATTTTAATTTCTCTGACTAAAATATACTAATTTATTGTTGAACAGAGATGATTTTCTTCTGGTGCAAGAATAATCTAACAATTTCAATTACACCAAACCGTTGACCCAACTAACTAATGATTACACAATAGTTTAATTCGATTCCTAATCTAATAAAATATTAATGTTATTTCGGCAGAGCTTTTGTCTCGTGAAGTAATCGAAAAGGCAACAAACCAAAAGCTTTACCTCAAAGGGTGTAACAATGGCGAGAGCTTCAAGAACGCCGGCGCCGAATCCGGAAAGCAAACGGCCACGATTGCTAACTTTTCCGGTCTCGGAATCCTTAAACGCGGTTTGAAACATGGCGTTGGATCCCATCCGAAGCGTGTACTTAAGCGTGAGATGAGTAGCGAACGGCGTTAAACCTTTCCAAAGAGCACGAACTCCTTCGGTTCGAACCACCGTTGAACCACAGTGCGCGATTCCTTTGTAAGCGCCGACGCGATCTAGCTGCAGACGCGTTTTGATTACGTCGATTGGTTGGAGACAACAAGCCTCGACGACTCCGCCTAGTGAACCTGAGACTGCTTTCATGTACGGCGGAATCTGGTTCCTCGATTCCGTCGTCGTCGCCGCCGCCATATCTGATTGCTCCGCCGGTGAGCGAATCAAAAATCGAGAAGGAGGCAGAGAGAAAGAATCGTCACTCTGCTATTTATTGTTTTGTTATTTTTAGTTTATATTGATTCGCAAAAATGTTTGCTTTCGAAAGAAAAAAAAAAAACAAAACGAAATTTTTTTTTTTTGAAGGAACGAAATTGAGATTGTTGTTGTATCCTTAAAGTGTGAGAGAGAAAAATGTCTCTTTTTCTAGAGATGTCATTGGCACAATATTCTCATAATAATGGTTTTTATTTTTATTTTTTTTTAAAAAAACAATTTTTTTTTTTTTTTTTTTTTAACACTAAACAATTTTCTCTTTAAACAATTGATTTATATCTTCAAACCCACGGCTCTTCTTGCTTAAAGAAACGTCTTGATGGGCAAAGATTCCATCCTCATTTAAACTCCAAAATATCAAACACCTTTCAACAACCAGCTAAATTTGGCGTAAATCGATTTTCATCACCATAAAAATTGTAGATGTGATTTTGGGCCTCTTATTATTTTAAGGGACCATGTTTGATTTGATGTCTTCTTCTTCGACGGTCGTAAATGCCTAACTAAATGACTATGCTTAGTCATTGTCTTTAGTTTCACAAAGCCAATAGCATTATATCCTTTTCATTTCCTTTTTCACTTTTTCTTCTTCTTTCGTTTAGAATATTGTTGTTACACGTTTCTTTCTTCTTTCTTTTTTTTTTCTTTTAGGGAGATATTTATATCTATAATGCAAATGGTAAAGAATATTTGTTTCTCAAATGAATATGATGTTCAAATCTTGTTTATCGGTTTTATATAACTTGGGTTTGGTTCAGATAATTTCTAAGCATAAAAAATGATACCATTCAAATTATGGTTCATATGATTCCGATAATATGATATGAATCATATCGATGAATTCAATTTGGTTTGATTCGGTTTGCTTACCCAAGCAATTAGCATTTGTCTTATAGTCTCATCATCGCAACTGGTAATTTATAAATTTATTGCGCAAGTTTAGATGTAATTTTAGAAATTTATGCTCTACACCAAACACATCCACGCTATTCGGGCACAATAAAAAATCCACAATTTAATACGGTCGTGCAACACGAAAGAGAAAGCAAAATGATACTGTTGTGCAAACTTGATTAACCTTAAGAAGACTTAAGGCCCAAGATTAAACTAAATAAGTCGGTTTAGTTAATAGATTTGGGATAAGATTTAGCTAGGTTAGGAGTTATCAAATCCTAGTGTGTTTAGGACTTTTGGTTTTGTATAAATAGAGGTACCTAGTTTGTGGTAACCCTATGAGTTGTTTTGAGATTAAGAGAGATTGTGTAACCTTTGTTTTGAGTAAGTTTCAAAGGTAATAAGAAGAGTTGTTCTTATAAACACAAAGTCTTGATCATTAGGTTTTGGTCCTTAGTTCATAATTCAATATTTGGTATCAGAGCCATACTCTTGGATTGAGTAACCTAGGATCTAAAAGAAAGCTTTATACGCTACGAACAGAGTTCGTTAAAGGTGAAGCATGGCTGATATAATCCCGGTTCCAGCTAGGAACAAGGAGACTAGTTCTTCTATACAGTGCCCGATGCTTAGCACATCAAACTACACTGCATGGAACATGCGAATGAGAGGAGTACTTAGGGTTCATAAAGTTTGGGATACAATAGAACCAGGAAACGACGATGTAGAAAAGAATGATTTAGCTAAGGTTCTCTTGTTTCAATCTATACCAGAAGCAATGATTCTTCGAGTGGGAGATTATGAAACTGCAAAAGAAGTCTGGAATGCGATCAAAACAAGAAACCTAGGTGCTGAAAGGGTAAAAGAAGCAAGATTACAAACTCTAATGGCTGAATTCGATAAACTAAAGATGAAAGAAACAGAGACAATAGAAGAATTTGCAGGAAAACTTTCTGAAATATCAACAAAAGCAGTTACATTAGGGGAAAACATTGAGGAACCAAAACTTGTCAAGAAATTTCTTAAAAGTGTACCTCGTAAGAAATACATTCACATAGTTGCTTCTCTTGAACAAGTACTCGATTTAAAGACAACAAGTTTTGAAGAAATAGTCGGAAGACTAAAAGTATATGAAGACAGAGTATGTGATGAAGAAGATCAACATGATGATCAAGGAAAGCTCATGTATGCTAACTCAGAATCACAAACCTATCAAGAAAACTATGGTTCAGGAAGAGGCCGAGGATCTAGTTTCAGAGGCAGAGGCAGAGGACGATTTGGTACTCAACAGAATGGTTCTGTTAGACAAGGAAAAGATAAAACTAAAGTCATATGTTACAGATGTGATAAGAATGGACACTATGCTTCAAACTGTCCTGATAGACTACTAAAACTCCAAGAAACACTGGAGAATGATGAAGACGAAACTCAAGAAGCTGATAGACTAATGATGCATGAAATAGTCTACTTAAACGAAAAAAATGTAAAGCCAGACAAATTTGAGATTCAGAAGGATGGTGACAATACCTGGTACTTAGATAATGGTGCAAGCAACCACATGACAGGAAACAAAGAGTATTTCTCTAAACTTGATGAAACAATCACAGGAAAAGTGAGATTTGGAGATGATTCATGCATAGATATTAAAGGAAAAGGATCAATTCTCTTTGTAAGCAAGGATGGTGAAAGAAAAGTACTTGCAGATGTGTACTATATACCTAATCTAAGAAGCAGTATCATAAGTCTCGGACAGGCCACAGAAGCAGGCTGTGATATTAGGATGAAAGATGAGCAACTAACAATAAATGACCAACAAGGCAGACTACTTGTAAATGCTAAGAGATCAAAGAACAGACTGTACAAGGTTCTTATGAAAGTTAAACCAACAAAATGTTTACAAATAGAAGAAGTTAGTGACTCAGCAAAATGGCATGCAAGATTAGGACACATAGGGTTAGATACTATAAAGTCTATGATAAGTAAAGAGTTAGTCATTGGTTTACCTAGTATAACAGTTGAAAAAGAAACATGTTCTTCATGCTTACTAGGAAAACAAGTAAGACAAAGTTTTCCTCAGGCTACATCATACAGAGCTTCACACATATTGGAACTCATACATGGAGACTTGTGTGGACCAATTACACCCTCCACAGCCGCACAAAACAAGTATATCTTTGTGCTAATAGATGATTACTCCAGATATATGTGGTCATTGCTTCTGAAGGAGAAAAGTGAAGCATTTGAAAAGTTTAAAAAATTCAAAGGTCTAATCGAGCAGGACACTGGAACAAGAATAAAGACCTTCAGAACAGATAGAGGTGGAGAATTTACCTCTCATGAATTTCAAAGTTTCTGTGATAATTCAGGTATTCAGAGACATTTAACAGCTCCATACTCACCACAACAGAATGGTGTAGTAGAAAGAAGGAATAGAACTTTACTTGAGATGACTAGGAGCATTCTAAAGCATATGAAAATGCCAAATCATCTATGGGGAGAGGCAGTGAGACATGCTACTTACCTCATAAACAGAGTGGCAACAAGAACTTTAAAAGATAAGACTCCATATGAAGCATTTAAAGGAAAGAAACCAAACATCATACATTTGAAAGTATTCGGATGTATTTGTTATGCAAAGATTGAAACACAGCACTTGAAGAAACTTGATGACCGATCAAAAGCCTTAGTCCATCTTGGAACAGAACCTGGATCCAAAGCATATAGATTGTTGGATCCATCAAAAAGAAGAATTGTGGTAAGTAGAGACGTAGTCTTTGATGAGAAAAGAAGTTGGAATTGGAATCATTCAGGAAAAGATGAGAGTGATAATGTTCCTGGAATGTTCAAACTCAGACTTGGAGAATACGGAAATCATGGTCTAAGAGAAGAAGCTTCAGAAACAGAAAACAGAACAGAAGAAACAGGAGTAGAAGAAAATGAAAATACTAATGAAGCCTTAGATAATGAGAATGATTTCTCTGAAAATACTTCTGAAACATCTTTAGAAGAAATTGAAAACCAAGAACAGGCCCCAATGCAACCAGTCCTAAGACGATCTGAGAGACAGAGCCATAAACCAGGGTATCTAAATGACTATGTACTCTTAGCTGAAGCTGAATATGAAATAATTGAGCATCTCTTGCTAACATTAAATGAAGAACCATGGGACTATAAAGAAGCAAAGGAGTTAAAAGAATGGAGAGATGCTTGTGATGAGGAAATCAGTTCAATAAACAAGAACAAAACTTGGAGTCTAGTAGATCTTCCAAAGGGAGCAAAAGCAATTGGTCTAAAATGGGTTTTTAAAATAAAACGCAACTCTGATGGAAGCATAAACAAATACAAGGCACGCCTTGTGGCCAAAGGATATGTTCAAAGGTATGGAGTTGACTTTGAAGAAGTGTTTGCACCAGTAGCACGCATTGAGACTATTAGGTTTATCCTTGCTTTAGCTGCGTCAAATGGATGGGAGGTTCATCACTTAGATGTAAAGACTGCATTTCTCCATGGAGAGTTGAAAGAAGTTGTGTTTGTTGTACAGCCAGAGGGATTTGAGATAAAAGGGAGTGAAACCAAGGTTTACAAATTACATAAGGCTCTATATGGTTTAAAACAAGCTCCAAGAGCTTGGAACAATAAACTAAACTCTATTCTTAAGGAATTGAAGTTTATCAAATGTTCTAAAGAACCATCCTTATACCATAAACAGGATAAAGATCATCTTCTCATTGTTGTTGTGTATGTAGATGATCTGTTAATCACGGGTTCAAACTTGGATGTGATACTTGAGTTTAAAAGGGGCATGGCAACAAAGTTTGAAATGAGCGATTTGGGAAAATTGACTTATTATCTAGGTATAGAGGTACATCAACATGCAGGAGGCATTACTCTGAAACAAGAGAGGTATGCATCTAAGATACTAAGTGAAACCAGAATGGAAGGATGTAATGCGGTTCACTCACCAATGAATGCAAATCTGAAACTAAGCAAGGCATCAGAAGAAAAAAATATTGATGAAACAGAGTATAGGAGAAGTATTGGATGTTTGAGATACTTGCTACATACTAGGCCAGATCTCTCTTTTTGTGTTGGTGTATTAAGCAGATACATGCATGAGCCCAAAGAATCTCATGGTACAGCACTCAAGCAAATTCTCAGATATTTGAAAGGAACAACAGGTTATGGTTTAACATTTGCTAGAAAGACAGAACCTAAACCTGAAACAAGACTCCTAGGCTATAGTGATAGCAGTCATAATGTAGATGAGGACGATGGTAGAAGCACTACAGGTCACATTT